GCCCCCAGGCATTGTATTGTTTTTAGTAAACATTGTCTTACAGCTGCCTACTCCCAGGCAGAAGGGGAAGTGGGTCTCTGCTCAAGGTCTGGTGTTCCCACACCTACTGTGAGGAAGTGGGGAGACTCCTCTCTCCCATGTCCCACTCTCCCTGCTCTCCCTGCTTTTCCTGCTCCCCCTGCTCTTCCTGCTCCCCCTGCTCTCCCTGCTCCCCCTGCTCCCCTGCTCTCCCTGCTCCCCTGCTCTCCCTGCTCCCCCTGCTCCCCTGCTCCCCCTGCTCCTCTGCTCTCCCCTGCTCTCCCCTGCTCTCCCTGCTCCCCCTGCTCTCCCTGCTCTCCCCTGCTTTCCCTGCTCCCCCTGCTCCCCCTGCTCCCCCTGCTCTCCCCCTGCTCTCCCTGCTCCCCCTGCTCTCCCTGCTCCCCCTGCTCTCCCTGCTCCCCCTGCTCTCCCTGCTCCCTCTGCTCTCCCTGCTCTCCCCCTGCTCCCCTGCTCTCCCTGCTCCCCCTGCTCTCCCTGCTCTCCCCTGCTTTCCCTGCTCCCCCTGCTCCCCCTGCTCCCCCTGCTCTCCCCCTGCTCCCCCTGCTCTCCCCCTGCTCTCCCTGCTCTCCCTGCTCTCCCTGCTCTCCCTGCTCCCTCTGCTCTCCCTGCTCTCCCCCTGCTCTCCCTGCTCCCCTGCTCTCCCTGCTCCCCCTGCTCTCCCTGCTCCCCCTGCTCTCCCTGCTCCCCCTGCTCTCCCCCTGCTCTCCCCTGCTCTCCCTGCTCTCCCTGCTCTTCCTGCTCCCCCAGGCCCAATTGTGGCAGATGGCTGCTCAGGCAGATTGCCTCCAGTGTGAGCCCCCGAGGACCCAGAGCTCGCCCTCCAGATACTCTCAATATGGGCTCATCACTTTTGCAGCTGTGCATCTTGGCCAAACTTCCTTCTAAGACATCTCCAGGTCGATTCTCTCCCTCGGGTCCATTTGAATCATGGGAAATTCATAGCACTGCCTTCCAGCACCCCCTGTTATCTGAACCCCAGTGCCTGAGAACCGGTGCCTAACTCAGATATGGCGCAGAACCCAGTGTGCTTGCTATGCCTCCAACTCTGGTGACATGTTGGGGACTGCTAGAACCTTGAACAAAATGGAGTCTGTCGACCGTTTCTTGGCCTTCTGCCTACGTGACTGCGAGCACACATGCCCTTGAGACAAAGGAAAAGGCTAACCATAAAAGTTAAATTTACACAGGGCAGCCCACCCGCCTAGCCAGGAGGAAGTAACTCTTACAAAGTAATTGTCTTTGTTAACAAAAGATTATAGCGTTCTGTTGTACACTCCCTACCCCTCCCTAATTCCTGCACCTGACTTACGCTGACAAGCATTCGTGGAATGCAACTAATGACTGATGGAAAATTACAGCTTTGTCTTTACCGTATTTGGTGTATATTTGAATTGAGACTTGATTGACATGCTTGTACCACCCCCTGAGGTCCTTCCTCTATAAGTTCTAGCGCGCCCCAAAAAATAAAGGCTCTTGATCAGCGAACGTTTTCTTGAGCCTGATTACATTAACCTCTTGAAGTTCACTTTCCAGATCGGATCTGCTCGTGAAGGCCCACCAAATTAGTAGCGACCCTCATCACCTCACCCCCGCGGGTCGGGGGTCCCTTCCCGGGGGTCGCAGTGACATTTCTCCTTCTGTCCCCTAGAGTGTGTGGATGGGGCTGAGGGTGGATCACACCACACACAAACCTGCCCACCAACATATCCTTTGGCTCTTCAATTTCTAAATTCGATTTCTTTATACCCAAGAGCCAGCTGATGAGTCACGGGTCAGGACCCTGGAGTCAGGTCAGTCTGTGAAAGTTCTGCACAGAAGCTTGGTTTTGGAGTTTGGAATGTAAGCGCTCATAGCTGTTCTTCTTTTGTCCTTGTATTTTGGCCTCTCAGCTAAAAGAGATTCGGAACATCCCCTTGCAACCTCCAGTCACAGATAACCACATGGGCAGCTGCTTGGAAACTCATTTAGCAAGGCTTCGGCAATCTCAGAGGTCTACATTTCCTGAAACTCAGTGTCCAGGGTCCCAGATCATAGATGAGTCACAACTGAAGCTTATTGAGACATAGATACCTGGAAGATGTGGGCCCCATTTTGGCAGTCCAGAACAAGGTGGAATCCTGTCATCTGCCCCTTTGCCTCTGCTTTAAAACCACGTCAAAATCAAAATCCCAGGCTTGAAGCATCCTTGTTTCCGTGACATCCAGTGGTCTGTGCTAGTGTTAACTGTTCCCCTGCGAGGAAATAAAACTTCACTGCCACAGGCGGGTGGATATGATTTGCGGACAGAGGCTTTTGTGGTGTACCAGCCTGCCAGGAAGCTGATGTCCCCTTCCTAAATTAGTAACAGCACACAGATTCGTGTGAACAAACTGAATCATGGTCACCAAATGCTGCTGCTGGTAGGGACATCTCCACCTAAATAGGTAGCAAGCACACCCACCATCAGATCAGCATCTAATCCACGTCACCACCCTGACCACTGAGCCCCCCTCAGTAGCATCCTGTAGTGATCCTATAGCATACGATAGGATGAGAGATGGGATCTGTAGCCATTACCAGGTCATCCTAAACCCTTTATTTGTAAAGAATGTCACATTGACATTTTTTCAAGGTCACAAAGCTATTTAATATTGGGGGGAAAGGTCAGACCCTCAGTTCAGTGCTCTTTCAGCCTCCACACCCTGGATACAAAGGAAAAGGAGCCCTTACTTCTCAGTAGCCTTTGGTCCATCCTTCTCTGGAAGAGTCTTCAAAACCTGAAGCCTTTTTCCAGTTGTCAGTGAAGCCCAGATTCTATTTGACTCCTCTCTCCTGGACAACAGTCCCTTTATTCCTCCCTAAACTCCTCCCAGGAAGCATTAGACTATATAAAAATGCTTTTGCATGGACCAGACCCTTAATTCGCTATTTCTAGAGCTGCCTGATGTTTGCAAAAAGTCATGTGTTATTCGCTCAAGCAAAAAGGCCTAACCTATTCCCGGAAACATGGAAATGGAATCTTTCCAAGTGCCGTATTACCATATCACGGAAGCACCAGATAGAACGAACTGCATGGATGTCTTTGAGTGTAAAAGGGCAAGAGAAAACAAAGTCCACCCCTTTCGACGTTCAGCATATTTCTGGCTGCTTTTCAGATGAATGTGCCTAAGAGTCTGTGGGTTAGAGGTGACCGTGAATGGGGATGGGAAGAAACGGTGCTTTCTATCCCTGGATTGCATATTGCTGCTCCATACGGGGGTTGAGCCCAAACATATGGTGTTCCATCTGCAAGACAGAGCTGGCTGGGTCTCATGAATGGCTTTTAATGCAAGTGGATTCAGCCTGATTTGGTCAGCCTCCAAAGGAAAAGAAAAGCCAGTGATTCAAATATTGTGTAAAACCATTGAAATTAATGGCACAAAACAAGACTCATCTGTATTCTGCCTAATTTAAAAGATGTCTGTGTGGTGTAAAGTAATGAATTAGCTACGGGGGTGTTTGGACTCAGCGTTCGATAGGCTCCTTGAGAGAACAAAACGCCTTTTTTCCCCCACTTCTTTCAAGCCGCTCTCTGTTAAGTTATGTGGAACCATTCTCCCAGGAAACCCACTAAGCATTTTGGCTTCTCTACTGGGCCAGACTTCAAGAGGTTCACAACACTAGGCATAGCTGGACCGTCCTTCATGCCCCACCCCATCAATGGAGGGAGAGGGAACCCAAGAGAATCTCCTTTTTTAAAAAACTTACCTAATGTAGTCATCTTGTGAGTGGAAAACCAGCTCATGCCTTAACAGAAAACCATAAGCCTCCAAGGACCCCTTGTCATCCTCAGATCTTACCCTTCCTGAATGCAGTAAGAGAGTGAGCCAAGAGTTCATCTTTGAGTGACAGCACTGTGCTTCCGTAGAACACATTTCACTGAAATGTCACATGCAGCTCCAACTTAACAGGCCACTGAACTACATCGTGAGCATAACTCTACTCACTAATGAGTGCTGACAATCATGGCAGCCGTGGTAATTGAAGGCAGAGAGACCCAACTCTACATGTGAAGTGTCCGATTCCATTCACAATGTCCTTAGGAGCTAAGCACCATGCACGACACTTTACAGAAGAAGGCACTGACATTCAAAGCTGTCAGAATCGCAGAGCTAGGCAGGATGTAAACTCTGATGAGCCTGCCCCAAAGCCCATGCTGAGACCGAAAGGAATAGGTGACTCGGTTTCCCCGATGCATGCGCCCCAGAACTGCCTCATCTCTCCTCAGGACAGGCTGGGCTGTTGTGAGGCTTCCTAATGAGCCCAAATGGGTTAGCAGAAAACAGCTACTCCAGTCTCACTCAAAGCAAAGGATGGGACCGCACCCCAGACCTAGTGTCATCAGTCCCAGGGGGACCAGGACTGAGAGACAGTCTCCACACTGTGTCCTTCATGGCTGGTGGCAGGACTCAGACCAATATACCAGTGTCATAAAACCCCACACCAGGCCAGATCACACAACACCCCAACCTGCCAATCTTCCCTGGGGTCAAGGGCTTATCACTGGGTGTCTAGTCACGTGGTGTTTAGCTCTGTCTCAGCAACCTTCTTCCACAAATGAAACTGGCAAAAAGAATCCCTCCATGTGAAGGGGTGGTAGTCTCCCAGCGTTCTCCTCCTGAAAACAAACACTTAAGACTCTGAGGAAGTTCAGGGCTCCTTCCACCATTACTGAGAATCCGCTGTTTTAGAACCATGTTTACATTACATCTGGAAAGATTCCTGTAGAACTCAGTCATGGTCACCTCTTCCTCGGCTTCTCCTTAGAAAGCACAGCTGTTCTGGAAAGTCACCATGCCAGTCTAAATCAGTGGTTCTCAGGCTGTGGGTCTTGACCCCTTTGAGGGTCACATATCAGATATACTGCACATCAGAATTTACTTTATGATACACAATAGCAGACTATAGTTACGAAGTAGCAATGGAATAGTATTATGGTTGGGGGCATCACAACATGAGGAACTGTATTAAAGAGTCGTAGCATTAGGAAGGTTGAGGGCCACTGGTCTAGATGAATCAACAAGTCCCACACTGAATGAGAAACCGTATCTCAAACACGTGAGGTGGAGAGCAGCTAAGATGGAGAGACACCTGACGTCAACCTCTGTCCTGTGTGTGATGTGAACATGAACATGTACGCATTCATGAAACAATGAACAGGCCATGAGAGCTAAGCATGATGGTGCAGGCCTGTAAGCCAGTGCACAGGAGGCTGAGGCAGGAGCTACACATGAGACTCTGACTCAGAAATTCCAAAAGGAAAAGCAAAGAATAAACTGTGGATTGCTTGGGGGAAATGGACCAGGGACTTCTTGGCTAGAAAACTCTGAGGGTGAGTGTGTGTGTGTGTGTGTGTGTGTGTGTGTGTGTGTGTGTGTGTGTGTGCGTGCGTGTGTTCTCTTTCTTCATTTTGTCACTCAGTATGAGGCTTAGCACAATTTATTTCAGGTTCCCCTGTATCAGACCACGTGTATCACAGTTCTCCACCGAGGAGTAATTTGCCAGTGACCGACCCAGCAAGTGCCAACGTAGGCGAGTCTCTTAGGCGTAGATGTAAAAGTAAAGACACATTGTGAGGTAGGAGACACAGTGATCCCAGCAAGAGGGCCTGGCTGCCCACGCTCGGAGCCATCTCTTCCTTTTAAAAGAAAATTCGCTTCAGAAAGCCCACATCCATGGCAATTTACCTTATGCTGAGACACTGACCATGGTCTGCTTACTCGCTTCCAGGGATGAGAGGCCAAACAGTATCCACTGATACACGTTTCTTCTGGTCACACTCTGCCCCTGCCACATTCAAGTCTGTACACCCCCCCCAATTCCCTAGCTAAGACAAGCTTCTCACTTTTCCAGCATCCAACTTACAAACAAGCCCAGAGTTCTACCTCCTAGAGAAAAGGACTTCATCATCATATGTGTAGCAGGCATGAGTCACCGTCCTTGATGCCCGTCATAAAGGTTGCCTCATTGCATCTGAAGTTAGGCTCATTTCAGTGCAAAGACACCATTTCACTGTAAGACTGTAAAAGAAAAGCCAAGTGAGTCAGTGCAGGAGTCTTTCACCTCCCTAGTCCTGAGTGCCACGTGATGTACAGTACTGGAGACACCATCCTGTCCTTGAAGCCAACTGCCAACTCAAGCATGCACATGTACACACACTACACTAAAAACAAATCTTTTCTAAAACGCTGCCTGCCTGGGCATTCCCGCCCCTCCCGAAAACACAGTCAGACCAAGGCAGGCTGGATGCTGTGGGTTGAAGCCATTCATAGCTGCCACAGGATTTGGATGACCTCAGGCATTCAGCAGCCATAGCAGGAGTTATCTATCACATCTTTTAAAAACCTGGTACCACACTACAAAGGTCCCTAGCAGCCCAGGTGATGAACTTACTTCTGCTCAGTTTCAGGAAGGTGGTCCAAGGCCAGTAGTAGACAAGGAAGCTTTGATCTTGGTGGGGAAAACCAGGGTCCCACCCTAGTATGCACGATGAGAGTTGAAATGGGCAAGAGGAATGTACGTACATGCACATGCATATGTACATGCATGGACATATACCCCCACCACCACACACTCATACATAGACACACAGACACACACACTCATACACAGACACACAGATATACAGGCACACACACACAGAGACACACACACTCATACACAGACACTCAGATACACACACAGACATACACACTCATACACAGACACACAGATATACAGACACACACAGACAGAGACACACACTCATACACAGACACTCAGATACACACAGACACACACACTCATACACAGACACTCACACACACACACACACACACACACACCCCACAGTGGTGCTGCCCTTCAATGAGTGTTTAGCCACTTCTGTCTTTTTAGAAACCCCAAATCCTTGCTGCTGGTACCTTCCTCTATGACATACTCAGGATAAACATTCCAAGGCTCTTGGGGTCCCTCTGTCAACTTAGGGAGTTGGAGTATGGCTTCTTTCACTGATAAGGCATTTGACCTTCCATGTGTGAGTGCTAAAAATGAAAGAACAGCCTCCCAGAGCCCTGGTTACCTGGAGAGAAGGGAGAAGATGGCCAGAGTGGTCCAGAGAGTGGGTTTGGGGGACAGATCAGATGGCAGCTGTGACTCAGGATAGAACAGTATGGTCCACACTGCTCAGAAGGTCCCACTGGTCTACACACATGGCCAGATGCCTTGTGATGGCCAATGTCCATTGTCAGCCTGACTGATTTAGAATCATCGAGAGAATGCATTTGCAGGTGTGTGTGAGGTGGCATTTCCAGAGACCTTTAATGGAAAAGGGATGTCCACCCATCATGAGTGTGGGCGGCACCATCCCGTGAGCAAGGGTCCTAGGCTGGATACAAAGGAGAGAGTAAGATGAGCACTGGTCTCTCCTTCCTGACTGTGGGCACAGTGTGACCCACAGCCTTGAGCTCCTGCTGCTATGACTTCCTGCCCTGGTTGACTGCACCCCTTTTAAAACAATGAACCAAAATTATCTTTCTTCTCTTGAGTTGCTTTTGTGGGTTTTTCTCTCACAGCAATGAGAAAAGTAATGAATATACATCCAAAGGGACTGCATGGGGAGGTTTGTATGAAATCCTTATTTGTGTGAAACCCTCTGTGCAAGACCCAGCACACAGTGAGCGCTAAGGGCTCAGAGAATACAGCTACTTTGTATCATCACAACCAGGAGGCCCACCTGTCCCACTTACTCTGTCCCTTCCATGGCAAGCAAAGCCAAGGGGGACATCCTCTCAGCCTCCCTCTTCTCCTCTAAGGAGAGGGGCACAGCTGCCATACTCCTATTCCCAGGGATAGGAGTTGTTTTATGATCTAACTCAATGGTCCTTACATGGTCCAGAATCTGTGGCGTGAAGAGAGAGGGATCAGGAGAGGAGGGAGCACTTGAGATGAGGACGTGGACACTCTTCTCATTTGTCTTAACCGGTATTACTCTGTGAGAGTGATGTGTTCTGAGTCACCTGGGTAAGCCTCGGAGGCCCCTCTACCTAGCAAAACCTCTTCCCTACCTTCCCATCCTCCTCCTTTCTGTGTGACAGCCTTAAGGTCAGACCTCCCCTTCATTCAAAGCAGATTTGGGGTTTCTGCCTAAAGAGGTCAAGGCCACGTTATGCTCAGAGATTATGGCCTTATCTCAGATATCCAATGTTCCCTTTCCCTAGACTGACTATTGCTGGGGAACTGAGAGCCCAGTCCCTTCTGCAGACTCTGTGGATGCAGAATGCTTCTCACCTTCCACTCTATTCTAACCAGTGGTGAACACAAAACTACCTCACAGAAGTTCTCAGCAACCACTGGGCCCACCCACTCCTCTTCCAGGGCAAGGAGCAGTAGTTTGAAGAAGATTATCTGCTCGGATTTAATGAGAGCTGCCGTGAACACTGAATTCTGAGAAAACAGGGTAGACATTACAACAAAATGGAGAAGACAAGAAGACCCTCCCAATTAGTGTCTCTAACACAGCCTCATTATGCACCTGATCCTGCCGCTTGTTAGTGCCGTTGGATCGGAGCTGTAAAAGTGTCTTTTGAACGGCTGATTGACATTTGACATAGCCACCCCCTCCCATTCTCTCACCCCTAAAATCTAAGCACTTAGAGCGACAACTGAGATTAGGAAGAAAGGAAGCAAGTGGGACAACCAGTCAACTCCCGGCAAAGGACAGACCGGCCCCAGAGCGTGAGGCTGGAGGAGGACAGGGCCACTGAGCATTACTGCTCCTTGTGAATGGCCCTCCTCTTCCACACGCAATGTGATTTCCTTTTTAGGGAACATTTAATAAGATACAAAAGTCAGATTTGGTTGGGCTGAATGCGAATTGCCATGGCAACCTGCCTTTGGAGGTTATCCAAGTCAGGTAGTGACAGCAGAGCTGAGGCGAAGGTCACCCCTGCTGAGAAAGATGGCCATTGATAAAGTGTTTTAACAAGGCCCAGTGGAGCTGGTATTTGAAAGCTGCCTTCAGAGGATCAACTGGGTGCCAGGGATAGGAGACAAACAACATCAAGGAGAGAGTAGGGGTCCTGCAGGGGATTCCACCAGGACGTGGGCAGCCTAGAGATGTCAAGAACCTCGCCCTCCACCAAGCTCTCAGAAATGAAGCCACCCTCCATTGGTCCATGGAAGCTTAAACAAGCTTTTTAACCAGGTATGTGGGTGGGAAACACACACACACACACACACACACACACACACACACACACACGCACGCACACATGCACGCACGCACACACGCACGAATCACTGTGCATCCAAGAAATGCATCCCTGAAAAATTGTGAACAAGCTACATGGTTGCAGATGGAGTCACCTTGGCCACTGTTACTTCAGAGATGCAGATGGAACCTCTACCCAGTTAGAAGTGGGGCTGAGAAAACATTTCTTAGAATGATGCTAAAGCCAGAAGCCTTCAAGGAAAGACCATAAATAAGTATGGCCTGTCCCTATAAAATTAAATTTAAGCATAAAAATCTACAAAAAAATGGCCAACTTCCTCCATAAATAAGGAAGTGTATATATAAGTAATAAATAGGGGTACCTTAAAATAGTCACAGTTTTGTTTATTTTACAAACAAAGTCCAGAAGCATGTCAGCACTGAAAGGCAGCCGGGCAGGCCAGTGAGGAAACAGGAGCACTCATGCATTCTTGGCAGGACAGTAAACTGGTGCCGTTATACTGGAGAAAGATTTACGAGTATCTATCAGTTTTGGAGTTTTTTAGACAGAGTCTCACTGCCTTCCTGGATCTCACTGTGTAGATCAGGCTGGCTTCAAACTCACAATGCTCTGCTTGTCTCTGCCTCCCGAGTGCTGCCACCACACTGAGCAATCATTTTAAAATGATTGTTCTTTAAACTGGAAATTCCACTTCTGCATATCCACCCCCACACAAAGATTGATGGAGACTGATGGAAACAGATGGTCATTTCAGCACTGTTAGCAATAGAGTAGAATGGTGTAAAAGTCCACGAGCAGGAGAGCAATTGAAGAGGAAGAGCTGTTACAAAGAGTAAGATTTATAGGTCCTGACATAAACGATCTCCCTGGCATATTAAACACAAAAAGCAAGTATAGAATCATGAGTGCCATGTGTCCACTTAGCCCCCTGCTGTGCTATGTGTGTGTGTATAAAGTCCAAAGAACAACCTTGGATGTCATCACTCAGGTGCCTGTACCCCTTTTGTGAGGTGGGAGTCTCTTCCTGGCCTAAAATACAATATATAAGGTAGGCTGGCTGGATGGTAAGTCCCCCGAGTCCACCAAGCTCAGCCTAGCCAGTGCTGAATTCATAATGTACACCACCACCACGCTCAACTTCTACAGGAGTTCTAAGGATTGGAATCAGGTCCTTGTGCCCGAAAGACAGTGATTTCCTGACTGATCTACCTCCCTAGTCCCCCCCCACCTATGTTTTTCTATGATTAGAAAGGTATACAGCAGATAAAAGGTCCTTTTTCAATTTAAAGGGTTAGAGTTAAGGGTGTGCTGGGCTGGGAATAAGGCACCATTTGAACCACACAGTAGACATTATTGGTACCCTCTCTCCTCCAACGGAACCTCGGCTTTGTTCAGGAGCCTAGTCTTCTCTTCAGTGGCCATGTGACTCAAGGGACACACAGTGACCCAGTTCTTACGGGAGGCCAATGTATCTTAATGTGTCAATGCATCAGAAGCACAAATGGAGCCCCTGTTAAGATTTCTATGTAAAGTGTCCCTCACAGATGTATGTGTTCAAACACGTGGTCCCCAGCCACTAGTGCTGTTTTGGAGACTATGGAACCTTTAGGCTGTGGGGCTTAATTGAAATACGTATGTCTCTAGAGAACAGGCCTTATGGGTTATAGACCACCCTGCCCCCTTGCAGCTAACAGCAAGGTAACTGGCCACCTCATGTTACTGCTGCACCAGCTAGGAGCTACCCAGGGCCCGTGTATTTCCTGCTGTGATGGACTGTATCCTCTGATCCATGAACCGGAATCAATCTTTCCTCCCTAAATGGTTTCTGTCAGGTGTTCTATCACGGTGACACACAAAGTAACTCATACAGCGTTTCAGACTGAGTATGTTTGAGATGTGGTTTGGAGTTCTTTTCATCTCCGAGGACTGGTATTGACAGCTTAGGACCACTCTCGGAGGACCTCTGGCACAAACTGAGTACAGCAAACTCCTATTTGCTGAAATGCCTTCGTAGATAAGATGCTTGCACCATCTGAGACATGTGAGGTGTAGGGTGGGAACTTAGCAGAAAAATTTCTTAGCAGCCACAAGTCAGGTAAGACTCCCTCCCTCCCTTTGTCTCTGAGCTTGAACAAGGGAGAATGCAGTGTGAACATCACTGACAGGCAGCCCCTAACTACAAGCGCCACCAGCTTTCAGATGCCACTATCTGAAACATGGGAGCATCCAAGACTTTGGTCATTGGCCCCCTGACATCTTTTTTGTGAAACTGGCACATTTGGTGAAGGCCTAAGTGCCTCTGTGTTGTGAGCTCTGCTATGGCAGACAAGTGCATTTAACCTGTAAACACAATAAGAACTATTTTTAAATAGTTGAAGTTCAAAAACATCTCTTTCCACCAGTTGTGGCTCATACCTTCAATTCCAACACTTGGGAGGCAGAGACAGGTGGATCTCTGAGTTCAAGGCCAGCCTCATCTACAGAGTTCCAGGACAGCCAGGGCTACATAGTAGAAACCCTGTTTCAAGAAAAACAAAATTCCTAGAATGCCCAAAGTGATGGGGACGTCTTCTTAAGATGTTTCTCTCATTGGTTGATGAATAAAGCACTGTGGCCAATGAGGCAGGGGGATAGGTGGGACTAGGAGAC